ACAAGAAGAGACACATGTTAAGGAAAACAATGGAGGTAAAGTGATTAACTAGCTGTATGACCTCAGTCAAGCTATTTGTCTTCCCTATTCTTTTATTTACCCATGTATAATGTTAAACTATTTGATTGAACATTCTTAAAGCTTTGATTTTCAAATTTAATGTGCAACTAAAAGTACATTAACCAAATGATTTTCCCCTATATTCTGTTCCTAAGGAATTTGTTTCAGAAGCTTAGGGGTAGAATATAAGAATTCCTTTGGCCCTCTATAGTCTAACAGTGACATATGCACAGCTATGCTTGGGAATAATTAATTTAGTGACTTTTAGTTTTGACATCTTATTGCTTTGTAGTTGTAGAACAAGCTCACCATAGGAAACATAGCAGAAAGTAGTTGTATTAATGTACTCATTTAAAGTCAGGAAATATTTTATTGTCTAGGTAAAGCTCATGGAGTTTGATGGAAAAGATGATGTTAAAACTGAAAATTAAGACTCTTTAGAGAGATGGGTAAAAAAATGTTTGCTTGTTATTTAGTGCAATATAGTTATTGACCAGAATATACAGGGCTGCAGGAGGAGGAAAATTGCCTTTTTTTGATGCAGTGGATCATAGTACTAGTTTTCGTTTTGCTCTGAAAGTTGTTTTTTGTAGATAAAATGTTTTATTGCTTTAGTTTGCTAGAAATGTAGCATGTGGTCAGGTGGTGACAGGAATCACAAGGCTTCTTTGTGAAATAAAAGAACACAACCTTCCTCAGGCCTCTAGGGGCTGTGCCCTTTGTGATCTACTTAGGTTAGTCCCCACTGGACTTCTGGTTAGATACAAAAACTATCAGGATCACTGTGTTATTTAAAATAATAGATTTACTGCAGAATTATTATTATTAAACCAAAGTTGCCTTTTTTGTTTAGATGAAACCATATAAAAGCAACATTCTGAGTAAATTATATAGCGTCCATTTGATGAAATAATGAGCCCAAGTTTAGGGGATGAAAGTAATGATCTAATGCAATATTTAGAATGAGTGTTTAGTATGTAGTTATTAACCTAAAAGTCACATCCTGCATTCTTTTAATTTGTGAAAAATTTGTCACTAATTGCCCAAGAACCCCCTGATTTTTCATACAAAATCATCTCATAGCTGGTGACTTTCTCCCCCTTCTCATGTCTTAAAATACAGCCCTATAAGCATCATATTACTCTCATATTTGTATGCCCTTTTAAAATATTGAACTGCTAAGTTTAGCTCCATTGCTCTCTTCTCAAAAATAGAATTCTTCCTCCATCCAACTTTGTCTTTGAGAAGCTACCAATAAATCATGATTTTATTTTAATGACAAGTGGCTTAAAATCTTATTTAACCTTTTCACCCACTGAGAACCTGCTAATTCTGAAACTCTTTAGGGATTAATTACTGATGTATAGAGGAAAGGGATATTATCTTCCATTTAGAAGCAGTTTGAGAGATAAGTTTGACCTGTAATTCAAATTCACTGTATATGAGTCAGGGTCAGGCAAACAAGGCAAAAGAAGTCAAAAATTGAAAGGGCTGGGTAGGTCAATCTATGTGAGTTCCACGCCCACCTGGTCTTCATACTGACCTCCAAGACATCCTGAGCTATGTAGAGAGACCCCATCTGCCAACATACACATGCAAACACACATACTTGAAAGAGAAAAAGAAGATGATAAGAAATAAAGTATCCAGGTTGATATTTAGCCTTGAGTCTAGCCCTTGCCTATGTCACTTTAGGGTTTGCAGTTTTGCTTGTGATCATCTCGTGCTCTACTGCTTCATGCATCTTTGCTTATGCTATTATAGCAAGCATCTCTTGACTTTTATGTAAAAATAGATATAATAAACCTATGGTGATTTATTTCTTACAGTATTTACTTTATGAATTTGAATTCTTGTTCTGTAATATCATCAGTGTCTTAGAGAATGACTCTCACTGGGATTTCTTTGAAAAAATGCCTAGGATCTCAAAAGAGATATGTGAAAGGAGTATCTGTCATATAAAATTCAGACTTCAGAAAATGTCCCCAAAATTCAGGAAGAGGAATTATGAGAAAATGGATACTATTACATCCCTTTTGTCTTATTATTTGACAGCAAAGAGGAATAGTAGGGTTAGAAGTACAGATGTTAATTGAAAACTTTGAGATCTTTTACCATTTTGCAAATTGTGTTCCTACTGTCTGGGTTACAGCATATGCTTAATTCTAAGCATGTGAGATAATATCTGCCTATACATTAAGATGTAAAATATTTTTATTTGATTTTGAAATACTTTAAAACCTGTAAATTTAGCTAAAATGATAATAACTTTATAGAGCAAGTATTTGGGGGTCAAAGTTAAATTAGATGCCAACCTACATGGAAATTGGCAAAACTTAGAAACCATGAATCTGGAATTCCTACCAGGGCATTTTTACTACAAAATGTTTTTTTGGTTTTGTATTTTGAAAGACACAGAAGTGGTCTGTGAAATAATCATTAGCACTAGGCAGCCCAAGCAGCCCTGGGTGTTTCATGGTTCAAATGCTCAAGACCAGATGGAAGTCCAGAAGTGAATGACTCAGAATTTATTAGTTTTGCCACCTGTGTAGTACAGCCAAACCAGCTGCCACAAGGCAGTTCCAATTTCAGCAGAGCAGTAAATGAACACAAAAATGAGAGTCAGTCTCCATAATAAAGGAAAATGACTGATAGAGCAGCAAGATTGATACTTCTTGAGGAGGTACAGTTACCATGCAGGCATAGAGCAAGAAATGGTTAAGGCACCTTGCCCTGAAAAATCTACACCTGAGTTGCTTTAGAAGCAACTATCAGGTTGGGGTGTGTTACAATTACAGGCTTGGAAGGTTACCAGTCACAACTGATGATCTGGAAAAGGAAATTAAGCCAGCTATGTCATGAAGCCAGGTGGTTTTACCTTATAAAATATGAAATATTATTTATCAACCTTCCATAGTCCTGATCTCTGAAGGCTTAAGTATCCAGGGATCCTAAGATCCCTAATGATGGTCATAGAAATCCCTGACATTATCCTCATGATTTCCTTATGTGGACTTGAAAGTTTATGGGTTATGCTCACGATGCCAGTACACAGCAGGACAAGGCAGGAGAATTGCTGCGAGTTTGAAGCTAGCTTGTCCTATGAAGGTTTTTCCTGAGTAGCCTGGATTATAGACTGAGGTTTTGTATCACGTCTCAAGTCACCAACAAATCAACCAAAATCAAAATAAGAGGCTTTTCAGGATCTGTTTAAAGACCACTAAGATTCAGAGAGTGAAGCTGAGGTTTCAGATGCCACTAAATAGATCTATGGCAATAAGGGCAAAATGAACTTGATAATGAAGGTATGGGGATCAGACCAAGTTGAGAGTATAGTAACTTTTGCTTAAAAGAGGAATGCCTATTACTTTTATTTTTTTAACTTTCTTTTATTTATTTATTCTTTGTGTCTTTCACATCATGCACCTCAATCTTATTCATTTCCTGTCCATGCATATCTAACCTCTGCCCTTCCATCCCCCCATAAAGTTTAAGAGAAAAAGATAAAAAAGGGAGGGTTATCTTGTCATGGAAGCTGTGGTGTGGCAGAGTGAGTCATGCAGTAAACCTTTTGTCCATATATCGTTATTTGGAGTGTCCATTGCCAAGAGTCATTGATCTGGTTTGAGATCTCTGTTATCTGCTACACTATCAATTCTTGGCCCTCATGGATCTCCTCTTGGTTCCTGCTGTTGCCCTTGTAGTGGAAATCCTGCAGCTTGTGTCCACAGGACTTTTCCCTTTACATGCTCCAGCAGGTCACAGGTTGGGTGGATATTGGGGTGATCAGGGTTGTCAGCCCACCAGCTCTCCTGGTCCTCACCACCAGAGTGAGCTCTCGTATGGTGCCTTGGCTAGTTCACCCTTTCCTGCAATGAGCAAGGGATGGGGCTGGCTCTCCTGCTTTCATGTCCACAGGATCAGATCCTCACACCTACACCTTCAGGGTCACCTCTACTGTGTTGCCCAGGCTAGGTGTAGGGCCGTCTTTCCTGAGTGCTGCAGCAGATGAGGGGCAGGGCTAGTTCCCCCACTCATGACCTCAGGGCCAGCTTTCCCATCTGCCTCAGGCCTTGATTGGGGGGCATGTTTCTCCTGTCCATGAAGCCACACGACAGGTGAATAGTGGGGACAGCTCTTCCATGCTCACAGTATCAGGGCTGGCTCACATACACCTCTATCAATGGGATTATATCTATTGTGCCATGGATGGGAGGTGCAGAGGCCTGCTCTCACTTGTTGCAACTGATGGTGGGCAGGGGCAGCTCTCCTGCCATTCTGACCTCAAGACCAGCTTTCCCATCTGTTTCAGACATTGATGAGTGGGAGGAAAGGGGAGGAAGGTTTATTAATGAATTTTAAAAAATATCTTGTTTTTCCATATCAAAAAAAAATCCTGGGGCATTATTTTTGAAAAACAACTAAACTGGATGAATAAAAGCTTGGCATTCTTTCTTTTTATATGTGGAAAACTTTCTTTTTATATGTGGAAAACTCAGGAGACTGAAGATCCTTGCTTTGGTTCACTGGTTTATTGATGATGCAAGATTTTCAGTGTTACCGTGATGAAAAGAATAAGGGCATAGCCAGAGAAAGGAGTTCATATAGTATTTGCTGGCATAACCTGTTGTGGCTTTTATTCACCCCCTACCCCCCATGGCCTAGACCAAGCTGCTCTTGGCATGGCTGACATCTGCCTTCACATGGCTTTTTCAGGAGATGATTTTTTTTGTGTTAACATTTCTAAACTGATCAATTCTTAGTAACATAATAAAGTTCTCTGTTTGTATGAAGAGAATACTGACATGTGTTTATTCTCACTGAATTTGGGTCTTTCCCTCTCTATGATGACAAGAAGTGAAATGACTTTATAATATAATATTTTATTAATGATTACAGTTGAACTAACTCCCTTGCTTCCCTATTTTTTCTTCTGGCAGGTGGCGTGTTTGACCCAAGTAGCTGCTAATTATCTTATTGGCCAAAAGGAAGCAAAACGATGGGGCACAGCTCATGGCAGCATTGTTCCTTATCAGGTACATTTTAGCCTTCATTACTAGAATCTGCAGATCTGTACAATATGACTCTGAGAATTGTTTTTACAAACCCTCCAGGGTTGTTCGATAACATGTCTCTGTCTTATAGCAAGGTTCTGTTCTCGTTTCATTTTTTTCATATTTATTCCCTAGACGATTTGTAGAAGAACACTTAAGTAGATCAAAGGAACTTACTGTAAATGAATTACTTTGGAGTTTATAATACCATGGTTTCTTCATTTCTTTCTTTTTCTTTCAACCAAAAGCTTCTGTTATACCTTTGACTGTAGCTGCTTTATAAAGCATGGTGTGTTGCTCTAAAACAAATGTTACCTTCTCCATCTGACAATAATATTCTCAGGGGTTAGAGTGAAGTGAAAATGTGCGTGTGATGGATCTTCATCCTTGTAGAAAAACAGATGCTTTGAGCTGCTGTTCTTTATTAAGTCTCCAAACTTAACCTCAGAAATTCTGGACTTTGGCTAGTGCAAATGAATATGTGAAGAAACAATGATCCCTTCAAAAATAGCAAAAACTTTACTAACTCTTCCAAGCCACTAGCCTTAGCCTAGTTGCATATTTCTTTGCATTTCCTTTTATTTGTCAAACTTCCTGTCCTACATCATGAGTTCAAGAGTAGTGGTGTCTTTCTCATTTCTTCTCTAATATCCAGTAGAACTATAGGCATTGTACCCTGGAAGTTTCTGCTGAGTAAAGGGTGGATTTTGCTCTAGCTGTTTCAACATGTGTATTCTTGACAGGAAACAGAAAACATAGATTTTTTTTTTTTTTTGGCTAGGAAATCCATCAGCACTTCCAGTCATCCTTTCAATGTTAAGAGATTATTTCCATGGGCAGGTCTAGTTTCATTTCCATTTATTTTAAATGCAAATCTGAGGAATGTATAATCCAGCTTGAGCCCGGCATGCAGCCTTCTCTTGTTCTGTTTATGGCCATTGTATACACGAGACTTTGCTATGATTTCCTGGTATAGTTGCTTTTCTCATATTGAGTTACCTTATGGGATACTTACAAGTTTTGAGTATATCTTCAGTGCCTCCCTTTTTGTTTGTTTGTTTTTTCTACTAGTGGATTCTTGACTACTTTAGGGACATCTGCTTCCCTAACTAAGATTTTCTTGTGGTGGTTCTAGACATCTAGCTAGACCTTCCTAACTTGATTCATAAAAGTTGTATTTTTAAACTGGGTAGAAATAGGAAGGTTGAGCCTTCTTATTTTCCAGATTTAAAAAAAAAAATCTCACACCTAGTTTGAATGGGGAGCTTCCAACAGTAATCACTTTGTAATATTTTTAGACATTTTCAGTTATTTATCAATGATAGGAGTGTGCTGTTGTTTCAGGACCCTTCAACTCTTTTCACTATTTCTTCTCATCCAGTTTGCCCTTAGATCAGAGGTATGGCTAAGTGATTCATTATTATGATTGATGGTGAAAATTATCAATATTTTTTGCCTAGTACAATGTTAGAATTTATATGAACTCATCTCAAATAATGGAAATTCTGATTTCAGCTTTTGATGCATGTGGAGAAAGCAGCCTTTCTGAATTGGAAAGCTATGTAGAAAAACTCTAAGTCACCTTACAAAATATAAAAGTTTCTTTTTCCTTTTCTTTTTGGTAAAAATAGAATATCCACTTTAAAGCTTTCTATAGACCATAGCTGTCTCTCCTGGGCATCATACCTAGAATACTGGCATCCTGAATAAGCTCTTAATTATTTTACCATGAGAGGTAAGGAATTCAGAATCTTTGGCCTTTGTTTAGGTTACATGTATAAAAGACATGTCTCTCCCTCTCTAGTTCTCTCTGTGATTTTATTGAAGAATAGATTTGTACTTTGTTATTGAGTCACAGTTGATTGTAAGAAATGATATCTCAGTTTTTCTTAGGAGCATAGAATTAATGTGCCTCTTCTTTGTAGGGAACTGGTTCAGCACAATGATTAAAAGATTAAATGAAAATTTAACTTTAAAGAAACTAATATAGCAAGATGGGTCCTAGAGATGCTTCAAGATTTTTGTCTCTTCACAATTTTTGAATAGACTCAATAAATATTTTTATGTGAATTCCAAGGTAATTATAATTAAGTTTCCTAGGATAATTACAGTTTTGCTTCTTTATTTATTTCTTATTTTATATATCAATCCCAGTTCCCTCTCCCTCCCATCATCTTATGCTCTCCTTCACCCCTCCCCTGTCCCATTCCCCACCCACTCATCAAAAATCTGTCAAGTCATTTGGAGTAGGGACTATGCCCTCCCCCATGTGTCCCTTTGTGCACTAGAAATACATCCTGGTTCCACAGCCAGAGGCCACATAGACTACCAACCTCCTAGCTAACACCCACATTCAGGGTGCCTGGTTGGTTCTCCAGCTTTCAGACTGGTGTCCATGAGTTCCTTTGTGCATTTGGCTGTTTCTGAGGGTTTTCCCAGCATGGTCTTGATCCCTTTGTTCATCATTCCTTCCTTTCTGAAACTGGGTTCTCAGAGTTTGGCTCAGTGCTTAGCTGTGGATCTCTGATTCTGCTTCCATCAGCTACTGGATGAAGAGCTCTAGCATGACATTTAAGGTAGTCATCATTCTCATGATAGGGGAAGGGCAATTAAGGTACCCTCTCTATTTTTGCTTAGATTCCTAGTTGGGGTCATCTTTGTGGATCACTGTACAATTCCCTAGTGGCAGATTTCTCTTTAAATCTATAATGGCTTCCTCTATTGATGTGTCTCTTTTCTTGCTAGCTTCTATTCATCTCCCCATTCAATCTTCCCTCATATTGATTAATGAATAAAGCACTGTTGGCCAAAAAGGGAAGCAAAATAGGCAGGACTAGGAGACTTGGAGGAGAGAGGAAAGTAGGGAGGAGTCAAGATGTAGAGACTTGAGAGAACAGAGGCCCGGGCCCTCTCTCAGTAAGATGAGACCAGGTAGAATTACTTAGATTAATAGAAATGGCTTAATATTTAAGACAGAGTTAGCCAATAAGAAACTGGCCTACAGCTTTATATAAAATACAGCATATCTGTGTGTTATTTGGGGCTGTCATGATGGTGGGACCAGGCTTCCAGAAAAACTTCTCATAACAAAATCTACTCTTTTGTGTCTAAAATAAAAAAGAAGGGTTTTAACCTTAACATTGCAAAATGATGGGAGATGTCATTCTGTATATGTTTCTCATACTGGTTAATGAATAAAGCACTGTTGGCCACTAGGAAAGCAAGACAGGCAGGACTAGGGGACAAGGAGGAAAGAGGAAGTAGTAAGGAGGAGTCAAGATGGAGAGTCTGGAGAGAACAGAACCACCATTTCTCCGCTCTTGGTAAGACCACGTGGAAATACATAGAAATGGGTTAATACTTAAGACATAGCTAGCCAATAAGAAACAAGTAACTGGCCAACAGCATAATATCAAATACAGAGTCTCAGTGTGTTATTTGGGGCTGGTGCAGTGGAGGGACAAGACCAGTGGCAGGCGGAAAAACCTTACTCCTTCAGCAAAATATATAACAAAACAGTTATCAAATAAGAACCACAGTTAACAATATTTAGTCCAATAACATTTAGTAATATTTAAAGAAAATATTCAATCATTTATCCTATTTTTTGTGAGTCTAAAGTCCCTATATGTAACTTATCTTTAATCCTAAGGAAAAGTATAACCATATGTATCTGTCTTCAACTCCCTCAAAGACCATAGAAGGATAATATATAAACTCTAGAAATGACAGAGACAACTTGCCTGCTCAGTCACTGGAAGTTCTTCTGTAATGTTCCATTTTCAGCCTATAGGCCATAGTGTGTCTGGCAGACTCCTCAGCAAAGCAGGAAAGTTTAAACTGTACACCCTTATTGGCAGTTTTTTCAGTCATTTTTCTCTGTGATCTGTAGACTGTCTGGCAGACTCTTCCATGAAGCAGGAACCCCACAGCAATGTCCATCTTGTATCAGCAGTCACTTTCCTGTGGGTCCTGCATGTTCAGTTTATACAGCATAAAGTCAAACATACAGACAAGAGCAGTATCTTGCCCAAATGGCTTGTTTTGCCATATTGGGAAATAAACTCCATAACGTGTTTCTTTGATGCCCATCTTCCTTTCTGATGCAGGTAGTGTTTCCAGGAGCAGTTGTGCCTCATTGTTAAGAAAAACCCTAAATGATTTTAAATGCCATATCCTGTAGGTCTTTGAAAGGTTTAAGAATGCCTGTTCATCTCAAATGCATCTCTATATATTTAGAAATCTAACTAACTTAACTCTAAATTTTGACTATCATAGGTAATTATCTATAATCTGTACTAATTTATACATTACATTTCTAAATGAGCTATATAAACACAATACCTAAACAAGAAGAAATATATATATATATATATCACAAAATTGACCTTAAATTGTATCAATACATGAAAATCCATTTTAAAACAAAGTATTCATTTCTATAACAGAATCCCGTTTTTAACTTTAAAAAAGATTGGTTGTGATCATTAACCATTTATAACCAACTCCATTTAAATGAAAACAAACATTTATAAACAGTATTTGGGAATTTTGGCATCATTCTTTCCAAAATGCTTCCTGCTGGTAGGGGTTACTGTCATGGGATCCTGAAGTGCAGAAATCCTGGCTGTAGTGATCTGCAAGGCTGCCTTGTTCCATGGACATTGCTTCAGGGGTTTTTCTTGACCAAACCATGTTAGTCTGGAAGGAATCCACAGCTTTTCATTTTCTGTGGAAATAAAAATAGAAATCCTTTCCCCCAATAACTTGTCCTTAGACTTAAATTTTGGAGTCAAAACATTTTTAAAATATATAAATTGGATTAATTTCTCAGCATTGATAATCAAGTGTACTTCCTTAGTAATTGAGCAATTTAAAGTCAACACCATTGTATATAGTATCCAGAATCTTTTTGTGCTTTCCATGTTTATGTGGCTTTTTATTACTCTATTTCTTCTACTTCTATTTTTTCATTTTTTGGG